GCAACTGCACTAGTAGGCATTTATCCATGGAATACAGGTGTGCTGTTTCGAAGGGACACATTCACCTCAATGTTTATAGCAGCACTATCAACAATAGCCAAATGTCCATCGATGGATGAATGGATAAAGAAGGCGTGGTATATATATACAATGGAGTATTACTCGGCAATCAAAAAGAAAGAAATCTTGCCATTTGCACCTCCATGGATGGAACTGGAGGGTATTAGGCTCAGTGAAATTAGTCAGAGAAAGACAAAAATCATGACCTCACTCACGTGAGGACTTTAAGAGACAAAACAGATGAACACAAGGGAAGGGAAACAAAAATAATATAAAAACAGAGGACAAAACAGAAGAGACTCTTAAATATGGAGAACAAACAGAGGGGTTTGTGGGAGGGGGGATGGTTAAATAGGGAAGGGGCATTAAGGAATCTACTCCTGAAATCATTGTTGCACTATATGCTAACTAACTTGGATGTAAACTTAAAAAATTAAATTAAAATACCAAAAAAAAAAAAATGCTACCAAATAAAAGGTTGAAAGTAAAAAAAATATTTTAAACACATAAATAAGGGATAACAGAAAGAGAAAGTAAGAATAAGAGGAAGAAAGAAAATATATATAAAAATAAAAAAAGAAAACATTTCTTATTGTGGGTCATGATCAAGAAAGTTTGGAGGCCAAGGTCCCAGGAAGGTGTAGAGACACTGTGTGCTAATTCATCACGTCTTCTACAATATCCCTTAGTTTGCTAAGGAAGTCTCCTTTGATTCATCATCCGCTAATACCTTTTATTTTGAATAGGTGAATTTTGCCAAATAATATTTACATATATATTGACGTAATCATTAAGTTCTTTCTCCTTTAATATGTGACACAGATGAATTTTCCAACACTGTATTATCTTTGCATTTTTCTCTCTAAAAATATTTTTATAGTTACCTGTTGTGCCCTAGCTATTGGGCCATGACTCTCTTGCTACAGCCCCTGCTGCATATACCACCCGTAATTTCCAGCAGATTCTGTATTTGCCCAGTTTGTCAAAGATGCTACCATACATCCTGAGTCATTCTCTAACAACAAAATAGACCTATGCTTTGTGATTCTTTATTAAATTAACAGGAAGCCTAAATACCTGCACTTTATTTAAAAAAAAAAATCCTTTATAGATACTGTTCTAATTTCAGAACCAATAATCTAATAAGAATTTATAACAGAGGACTAAGTCCTACTGGAGAGCTGTATTTTAATTCTGATATACTAGTGACAATTATTTCCATGTTTTTGTTGAGAATACAAATCTACTAACAGTATCTTCATCAACTTGACCTCCACAAAAACACCTGCCTAGATTATATTCATGTAAGCGGTGCCCCAGACACGTTCATGTGCTTTTTTGTTGTATCGTGTTTATTTGCTCCTTTAAAAAAAATTTTTTAATGTTTATTTATTTTTGAGAGACAGAGAGACAGAGCACGAGTTGGGGAGGGGCAGAGAGAGAGGGAGACACAGAATCTGAAGCAGGCTCCGGGCTCTGAGCTGTCAGCACAGAGCCCAACATAGGGCTCGAACCCATCAACCAGGAGATCATGACCTGAGCTGAAGTCAGACGCTTAACTGACTGAGCCACCCAGGCACCCCTATTTGCTCATTTTTAAATACTAAAGAATGTCCATATTGCTCGAAAGCAGCCAAATGACAAATACTGCATTTTCAACGGGCAGTGGTTTTCACTCACCAAATCAGGAAACTACAGCACAGTATCTTTTAACGTATCAGTGTGGTACCAAGGTTCCGAACCAGCTGTTATAAGACCTTTGACCTTTAGGCGTCTTACATTTCTCTAGCTGCTTGTGAGGAGAAAAGAAATTTAATTTTGAATGCAATAAAAACATTAAAAGGATGCTTTTTACAAATCACCTGCACAAACAAAATATGTTACCTGTAAATTAGCTTTCTGATCATTTAATCAATGCGAATACACACATGTGCAGTCTTCGACAGTTAATACCAAAAGGAAACAAAACCTGATTTTATAAAAGGCAGTACAGTGAACACACAGTAATTATTAAACTTCCCCAGAAGACCATCTAGAAAGAAATGACTACCTAATTAGCTGACACGAGCAGCTGATCACCTGCCCGGCCTGTTTAAGTAACATGTGTTCAAACTGTGTGTCCTCCTTCTGTTCTTCCACCCCATAGCTGGGAAAAGACGATACCCAGGGATGGGGCTAATAGAATCCTCCTCTATTTAGCCAGAGGCAGAGGGAACCCCAGTGCCAACCGAGAGATGGGTTCCCAACTGGTCTTCAGTTAGAACAAAGCCACCACACTGGTTGCCTCTGGGCGTTGGGCCTATGAGTGATAGATTTTTTTTTACCTTCTAGTTTCCAAATTTTCTATAACGGGATGTATTCCTCTTCTAATGCAAAGGCCGTGCTAACTGACCAAAGAGCACATATATGCTAGATCGTTGTTTTATTTTTAACGCCTGACCATTAAAAAGAGCTTCTAAGTGTCCTTGTAAGTTCTTTCTCTCTTCCTCTCCTGGTGGTGGGCAGGGTCTCCATTTGCCAGAGAAAGACAAGCAGGATTCCACAGTTTGGGGGTTTGGGTCAGATTTGCCTGATCTGGGATTTATTTTTTATTTATTTATTTATTTTTTTTAATTAAAAAAAAAATTTTTTTTCAAAGTTTATTTTTTTGGGGACAGAGAGAGAGCATGAACGGGGGAGGGGCAGAGAGAGAGGGAGACACAGAATCGGAAACAGGCTCCAGGCTCTGAGCCATCAGCCCAGAGCCTGACGCGGGGCTCGAACTCACGGACCGCGAGATCGTGACCTGGCTGAAGTCGGACGCTTAACCGACTGCGCCACCCAGGCGCCCCGCCGGATCTGGGATTTATAAAAATGATACTGCAAAGAATTCCACGGTTTTCTTGATGGCTAGGAACAGTAACATTTATTAGATCCTCACTGGGTCTAGGGCCCATATTCTTCTGGGCATGGCAGAGAGAAACAAACAGCAGTAAAGATGGCCCTTATTTATGAAGAACTTAAAACATGATCAAGGGCATAAAGGACAGAAAAATACCTGAACACAAAGGTGGAGGCTAATATAGTGCAAACCATGAGGTTAATGTGGAAGAGGACAGGGAAGTGTCAGAGCCAACTTGGGGGGGGGATGCCCCCAAGATTTCCAGAAGCAGTCACAATGACGTCTTCTCTTTACTTCCAATGCAATTCCCTTCTCTCCAAGAGCTAGTAGAAAGAGAAATTCTGAAGAAACAGAAATGCTCCTTGTTGGGAAAGTGACCAAAAGCAATGCTGTGCAAGCCTGTTGACTCCAGGTTAGTACCACTCCTATTTGAGAGAGCACTCAAGTTTCTAGGGAAACAGATTTTCAGCATATGATTTTAGAAAACTAAGTGCGACCGATTTATTTGAAAGTTGGTGGTACTTCACAGAAAACCATTTCCTATGAAATTACTTGCTTTCCACTCTGACTAAACAGGCAGAGACTGATCTGGGACTAGAAGTGTTCAAGCTCTTAAATGTTACCCAAGTGCCTTGTTGCACAATGACCAAAATAGAACACAAAATTGTGAAAGGTCACGTTCTTTCCTTCCTTGTAAAAAATGGCACCCTTTGGGTGACTCAGTCAGTTAAGTGTCCAACTTTGGCTCAGGTCACAATCTCATGGGTTTGTGGGTTCGAGCCCTGCATCGGGCTCTGTGCTGACAGCTCAGAGCCTGAAACTTGCTCTGATTCTGTGTCTCCCTCTCTCTCTGTCCTTTCCCTGCTCATGCTCTGTGTCTCAAAAATAAATGAACATAAAATTTTTTTTTAAAAAAGCACCTTTCCCCCCTAACATCCAAGTGCTCAACATGTCACTTTTTAAAAAAATTTTTAATGTTTATTCCTTTTTGAGAGAGAGAGAGAGAGAGAGAGAGAGAGAGAGAGAGAATGAGCGGGGGAGGGTCAGAGAGCGAGGGAGACACAGAATCTGAAGCAGGATCCAAGCTCAGAGCTGTTAGCACAGAGCCCGACATGGGGCTCGAACCCACGGACCAAGAGATTATGACCTGACCCAAAGTCGGACGCTTAACTGCCTGAGTCACCCAGGCGCCCCTCAACATGTCATTTTTTAACTGCCCTCCGTTTTTAAAAGCTTCCTCACTTACTGACACAGTTCTGAAGTTATTGCTGGTACTAGAATCTGAGATGGAAATTTTCCTGGAGGTGCACACAAGTCGTAACTGAAGAAATGACCCAAGTTGAGTGTCAAAGGGAGTGAACAAGCAGCTGCAGCCATGCCTTTGGCTCTGAGAGAATCCCTTCAATACACTTGGCTTTTCCGAGTGGATTGTCTGTGGGACCAACGGCACAAGGAGTTCAAGCCAACCATTAGCCTGGGAACCAAGCTGAGGACCCAGGTCTCATCAGTTAGGGTAAAGCTGGAGGCCTCAGGCCACACACAGTCACCTCTCAGTGCTTTTCCTCTGGCACCAAAGTGAAATGCTAACGCCAATCTGCCTCAAGAGATTCCTGGTGAGTGAGGCACAAATGGTAAGGGGGAGGCGTCAGATATGGTATTCAGATGAGATGTGAAGGGTGGTTTCTCTTATCCCACTAGTGTGGTGAGAACAAATTTTACATGTCTGCCTTTAGGTCAGGAGGAAAGATAAGCAACACGATCAAACTTCCAGAAACAAATTAGCTTTCCCCTCCGGCATGTGGATTTGAGCTACCTGGCCAGATGTCAAGGTTCTGAACTGAACGTAAATTCTGGACGACTGTTCCCCTGATATGGTGATGTTTCTCTCATGCAATGTCTTCTCCATCTTCCCTGGTGCCTGAAAACAATGAGCCCATAAGGAGTACCTTCCATGTACGTTCAAGCCTGTATTTCGACAACTCTCTGAAGTTTCCCAGAAAAGCCTGCCTTGACCAGAGGCAAGGAGATCATCTGCTTGTGACGGAGGCTCGGGGGCTCTTCACTTAATCATCTGTGTTTCTTCATCCGCATCAAAAAACTCCTCCTCTTCCTCACTCTCACTCCCTAAAGTGTTCTCCTTGTCTGAAGACTGAAATAGGAAAGGCAAATTATTATTTGCCATTCGACAGACAGATGCATTTTTATGACATCTATTTCCCCTAAGAATTGGCCCTAAAGTGGTCTAAGAAAGTAAATGAATCACGAGCCATCTTTATTTCTCTCAAAAAATCAACTGCTGGGGCGCCTGGGTGGCTCAGTCGGTTAAGCGTCCGACTTCAGCTCAGGTCGCGATCTCGCGGTCCGTGAGTTCGAGCCCCGTGTCGGGCTCTGGGCTGACGGCTCGGAGCCTGGAGCCTGCTTCCGATTCTGTGTCTCCCTCTCTCTCTGCCCCTCCCCTGTTCATGCTCTGTCTCTCTCTGTCTCAAAAATAAATAAACGTTAAAAAAAAAAAAA